GGTTTAGTCGCTGTCATCGGCGTGCTTTGAACTCTGTGATCCGAGGTTCGAACCCCGCCATCGCTAGACCGCTCTGCTGTCGCCCGGTTCAATACCACGTCTGACCATGCGGGGCCTTGTGTGGTTCGGCACTCCAAGTCCTGTGGCTTAAGTTGCTGGTTACCATCTTCGAGACTAAGGGGTTTCACCCCGTCTGCTGTCTATCACACACCAGTGTATATTTAAAAAAGTGGAACTATCCAACGCAGAACATTAAAAGCTCGATTTGTGTTATTATCAAACTAATAAAAAACTGAAAAATATTATATATATATATATATATATATATGAATAACCCGCTTAAATATGAATACGTAGGAGTCACGTTTGCTACTCATGCAGCAAGCCGTTCGAAACGATCAGTGTGATTTACGATCTGATTGACTGATCACCAACGCGCGAAAAGAGAAGCTACGTGTTTACGGGAACTCTTAAAGGACAGAATAAATTATAGTTAATCGAAAAAGAACAATTAAGACAAACGCACCGAATCAGGGCGATCGATTGCTCCATATCGAGGTGTTCATCTATGAAGCGAATCAGTCGGCAGACCATAACGGCCCACTTTTCCAGATCGGTCGAACTCCTAGCTCTGAAAAGTCCCAACATGTGCATGCGCAAGACTAGGCCGAACGGACAGAAGCAGATCAGATCAGATACAGGTACAAATAGGGTGGCGGATTGATCTTCGATCGACAAATGAACGTCGATTTGATGAACGAGGTTTTCTAACTGCGAGGAAAGTTTGTCCATGCCTTCGAATGTGTTCATAGATTCATCATCTAAATCACTAGGCATTACTGGAGGGGAAAAACAAACGACGAAGGAACACAATACATGAGATTATAGTAAAAAGCAAGATATTTACATGAAAAGACTGAAGGCTCAGCATGGCATCACACTTCTACAATAGAATGACGTAAAGGTTTTCAATAACAACGCCTGGTCTACCCAAAGATAAAGTCGTGGACAATTGTTTACTTTATATCAATGAATAGAAAAGAAATTTTGAATGATCAGAAAACAACTTAAAAATCGGAAAGCCTCCGAAAGAAGTGAAAGCAATGGTCGACTTTACCAGTTCCACCAGAAAAAGTCTGACCGTAAGTTCCGGACCTTGCAGGCCTATTATTTATTAACTCGAATGCTCAAACACTTTCAAATTTGCCCTAATAACTAGCGGTGAATATGGCGTTCTTTAACATAATGGTAGAGATGAATCAGAGGACACACAAGAGGTTGGACTGAATCCATATAATAGTCATAAAATTCGAACACACCGAGAAACGAAAACACTCCAAGATTGAAAGTAGGGACGAATACATGTTTTTGGAATGCTGCTGACGATGAAACATTTGAGATTTGTGCCTAACGGGAAGAAACAAACTAATAGGAGAATGATTTTACGTGCTTTTCGAGATCATCCATCGTTTCTTCAATCAATGCTAACAAAATATCACCGGTGCCCGTTGGGATTCATCGGCAGTATGTACTATCTCTGTGCCCAAACGAGTCAAACCGCAAAACTTCGGATTGGAGGGTCAAGCCCTTACCCTCTGCCCCAACTGGGTTCAACAGTGGATGGCATACATGCTCAGATCGAATAACTTTATTTTTATTCTCTGCGGATTTATAGAATCAGAGCCCCGGTGTATGGCTGGAGCGAGTACTATCCAGGAACAACGACACACAGGACTAGTGCACATGAATTTGTACGGAATGGAAAACAAAACACATCTTCATAGAGTCGGTTCATTTAAATAATGCTTGACAATCAAAAATGATATGTCACGAGGAATTATTAGATGATTACACGTAATTCATACGTGTAACACGATTTTTAGTCTTTGAAGTCTAAACACCACTGGTCTCAAACAACGAAACACGATGTTCTGTTTTGTACAGTAATTTAAACTTTTTCCACTGCCCAGAGTTAGATATCATTGTTTATGAAAAGAAAAACGGAAAATCAACTGTATACAAGAAAAGTTCGCTTACCTGAGAAATGGCCATCCTCCAGTGCTGCATCCATCAGCTGACAGGCGATACGAAAGAATTTGCACCACGGCTGCAACTAGAGAGTAGGAGGAGGGAAAAATCTTTTGCTGGTTGTCATTAAGGGAAATCGTGTGATTCAGAATAAAAACAAATCACTGAAATTTCTGGGGTGGATGCAAGCCTGTATTACTCCGCAATATCAAAAACCCATCAAGAGGATGAGACTTTGAAAAAATTGGAGTCACCATTTCGACAAATATCGTCCTCCTACTTTAGCTAGCCCAACTTTGTGAATGTCACTCAAAAAACAGCTGAAAAAAACGGGAAGTTCCGTTACCCACTAGGTACTGAGTGGTTTCGAAAAAGAAGTATTCGAACATCGGTGATTTCGTTGAACTTGCGCTGTGCAGGCCCCCAAAAAAACTTCTTCAAAGTAAGAAGTAATCGGAATCGAGTAGTCCACTATGGAAAATACAGGAAATTCTCAGCTGGTGCAATGACTGACATTTTGGGGTTAGATTATTACGTGCAAATGCAAAATATTTTAAAGATGCAACCAGGTGCGAGGAATAGTGGAACTTTTGCAGTTCTGCTGATTTTACTCTATTGATTATTATCATTTCGCTATGACCGAGATTATTATTTTCAATGATACAGATGATTCACAACAGTTTGCTTTTTCTCATTTTCGAAGGATTTAATTGTGGAACACAATCCAAAGCCAAGGCACTCAGTTATCCGGTCAGTGATTGATAAAATGAATTAAACCAAAACTGCTTACTCATGAGTAGGTGTAGTAGTGGAAGAGGATTTGGATTGTATGCTGTCTAGGTTCCGCGGCATGGATAGGTGGATCGACACGAATAAGATAGGATAGGTTTGAATTGAAACGCAGACACTCATCAGCCACCTTTAACACTAAATCAAACTTACCCGCGTCAGTTGTTTGTCAATCGATTCCGAGTCCGAACAATCGCGTACAAGTGGGGAACCAAAGTAGTTTAATAAATGGACCAAAAATATCTGAGTCAGCTTTCGATGTGAAGCCGTATAACGAACAGTTTGCGATAATACATGCAGCAACTTCTCCGAAATCACAGTAACGTCTATCGACATCGGTTTGTCATTGGTAGGATCAATTCGTAAACCAAGAATGCGACAAGTTGTTGCGGCGAAATCTTTCAATTGATGTTTCTCGACGGCCTGATTCAGGAGGGGGGGTTCGGGATATACACAAATGCAATTCGATGAAATCAAGAAAAACATTGGAATTGGAAAAGTTTAATTCATTTTTTAATTGCTAAGATAAGCTAGTTCTATATGGAAGAAATATAACATAATTCTTAAGGTGTAACTCTAATAATTCGTTCTTTCTGATTTGGACTGACCACAGTTCAAACTCTGTATTCCCACAGTCCTCAGTTCACCGCGAGGTAACATTTATCCCACTGGCAACTTGCAACTAAATGTGAGCCAAATTCGAATTTGTTTTTTATTTAATTCTTAACCAATGTAGCCATCAGTTCAATGTGTTGATGTGAACCACATAGTGTAGAATTTAACAGCTTTGATTTTTTTTCCGTTCCAGTCCGGTCAAGGGCACAAAGATAAAGCGGGCATTCCTGACGAGTATCAAGACGCACGAAATGCCGGTCCGGTACTCGCTGTCGGTTTTCACACAATAATTTTCTAGCATTTTTCTAGGATCAATATTACTATTATTAGTAATATTATTAGCGCACACTTCGGGTTTGGCATTATATCCAACTGGTGAAGTACGCAAGACATATTTTTTCATGCATTATATCACGATGTTAAGTGATCAAAGACCAAGATTACCCATTCGTTTACGGCAATCATAGAAAGTCTGTATTTTGTTTCAATTACGCTGGGGTTGAGTGAAAATTTAGCATCAGCATGATCAATAGTTTTCGGAATGGACTGTGGGAATACGAGAGACATCTGGTATTGGGAATGGAGCATATGACTTAATGTCGAGCGTAGCAGCTGTGATTTAGTTTGACCCATGGTTTTCGTATTTCCATGATTTGAATGGGTTTTTAGTTTTACCTGTCTGCCACTCTGATTGACATCTTCAGTGGCTGTGATGTGATCTTAAAATCCATTTTCATGATTTTATCAGGTGGTTCGTCTGTTGAAGGTTCACTTTAAACAAAAGCATTCAAAATCTCGGGCACCTACATGTTAAGAAATTGTTTGTACACTTTCTTTGGGGATAGACAGTATTGACCACCAATTTGTCTAGATGGGAGACGACTCTGATATCGCTCAGATGAATTATACCGTGCCTCACACGGTTCAATACTGTTAAGTTCAGAAATAGGGTTGTCGGTTTCTATTACGGAGCAGTAAGATTTTGTGACTGTGGGATTCGTTTGTCTCACAAATCTTCGGGTGTGTAATACAAAAGACGAATAAGAATTCAATGATATTTTGAACACTATCTCTCTGTTCCACACCACTGAAGCAACAGCAACACAAATGGAGTCAAAAACTCATAGATTTAAAAGTAATTACACACCTGTATAGGCTTACTACTGGATTGTTTACTCACCTGTGTCGTGTAACAATGCACCAAACCAGTCNAACCAACGAATCCAATTTCCGTGACTTAGTTGGAAGATTTATCTAGGAGGAATGAATCCGAAGAAAAAAGTGAATGAAAACGAACAAAACAAAAACGATAATGGCACTTATTAGAGGGGAATCAAATATAGAAGACTATAGGAAGGAGAAAACAATAGATGAACAAAGCACTTGATCAGACTAGACGAGAGAGCGTACAATCGGAACAAGTTTGTTTCGACAAAGTTCACACAACCTGGACCCCGAGTTTATTACCGTCGGGTCCATCAACGTAGATCAGAAAAAGCAAGAACCTCTGTTGGCTGAATACTCTAATAAGCGCGTGAATTTCTTAATTCCTTTTTGAGCAGGACACATTTATTAACGATTTGTGAACATCTTTACTCATCAGGATCGCTCTTGATCGATTGTCTGATTTGCGAACTGCGTACTACATATTTCTTGTACGATGATTGATCATAGAGGAATCTAAACTGATGTAAATATTCCCACTGATTAATTAGTGGGCATAGAATGAATATCACCTGAAGGATAATTCGGTTTATTGTCAAAATACTGAATCGCAAAGTTGGTGCATATATTTAAAGTACTCTGAAAACAACATGGGATAGCGAATGTTATGTAACCATTAGGACAAGAATGCTATACAGGATGGCTTCCCATAGCCGCAAATCTAATCATGTCTGGAAGGTTAGTGCGTAGAGGCCAGGCAAAGCTTAGACTCACAAGGCCAGCTGCTTGGACACCTCCTGGCTTCCTGTGACTATCCACATTCGCCCCTGGAGAGGTCACTCCAGTAAATAAACACGGTGAGGGGCAGTTTACCGGTCAAAAAACTACGCTGGATGGACACAGAAGCAATGTACGCGGGGGCTTCCTCCCGACGTTGGGAGAAGACTTCTCACTTCATTAGACATTTAACGCACACCCAAGCTGGGTAGCCCCAGCCAATAAGGTGCTGTCTCGTCCACGTTCCGCTTGTATCATTGGGTGCATCAGACT